TAATATGGAAGGAGGGTACTCATTATTCTTATACCCGTAGTTGACAGTGACACTTTATCTCGTGGATTCAAGAATCTGATCACGAAATCAGGCAAAACCTGATCACTCCACTAAAAAGAGGAAATGAATAATAATCATTTAAACGAAGTGAAACTGGGTTTCAACATTTTTTTAAAAATCCATTTTTATTTCGTTGGTAGTTTTGTGTTGAGATATATAAAATCATTAATGTAACCTCACCTAATAGCTTAAGTTTTTGGGTTGAATTGGTTCTTTACATGATACCAGAGTCTCGGTGTACCGGGTTTAATTCTCTTCGCCCTCACTTTCTTTCTAGTGAAATTTCTTTCTTCGCACAGGTAGATGGATCTATGCATTGTCCACCTTTCAAGCCCAGTGGGCTCTCGTGTGAGGGGGCGTGTTGAGATATATAAAATCATTAATGTAACATCATCCAATCGCTTAAACTTTTGAGTTGAATTAGTTCTTTACATTTTGTAATTTCATCTTTTTTATTTTAATTGTTTTTAAAAAAATTCTAATATTGTTTATTGAATATTTGAATCTTGATCACTCCCTCTCAGTTTGTTGAGCCAAAATTTCGATGTGTAGAGTATATATATATATATACATATATATATATATATATATATATATATATATATATTTTTGGAAATATTTCAATCAGTTGATCGTTTTACGACTAGTCTGATATGGGGTCCGATTCGGGACGGATCCAGGATTAAGGCTTTAAACCCCTCCAAATGTGATACTGAAGAGAATCAAACACATGCACTCACATCTACTTGCTCGGCTCCCATGCGCCAACTGAGCTATCATCGTTTTGGTGAGAGTATATTTTCAATCCTTCCCTATATCAATTTTGGGAGAGATTTAAAATCTTAATCATGGGACCCGCCCCTAATCGGATTAGTAACGAAATGATGAACCGATCGAAATACCAAAAAAAAAAGAGTTGAAATATAACTTCGAGAGAGAATAAGGTAGATTTTGAACAGGAAAATTTCATTTTCACTCGTTCTGATCTTATGATTTATCATTTGATTCTATGTGATTTTAAAATTGTCATTTAGGCCATTTGTGTTTAAATAATTTATCATTTAACTCCTTGTTGTTTTAAATTTTCACTTACACACATTGTTTTATAAAAAAATATCATTTAGACCCCTTGTGGTTTTATATATACATAAAATTTTTTTAATTTTCTCAACTTTTATCTTATATTATTATCATATTATAAATTAAAATTATGTACTGAAAAATATAAATTATTTACTTAAATTATTTTTAATCAATAATAATATCAATTATATCCTTATAATTTTATACATATAAATTTTTTTATTTTATATCCTCATCTAATGCATTTAAGGAAAATAAATAAAAATAAATTTAAAATTTTTTATTTATTTTCATGATGAAAATAAATTCAAATCAAACATTATTTTATTTTATCTATTTTTTATCCAATATCGTTATAAAATTATCTAAAGAAAGTAAATATCTTATTTTGATAATACATATTTAATTTATCTTAAATAATCTTTTTTATTTTTAAATATATATTTAAAATGAATTAACAATTAAGATCATTTATAAGTTAACTTCAAAATAAATAACATTAATATATTTTAATTGAATATTTAATTATTGATTTTATTTGACAATATCATAATTACATAAAATAAAATTTTGAAAAAGTAAATATTTTTATATTTATAGGACCATAAAGGGTCTAAGTGATTATTTTTTGTAATCACAATGAGTGTAAGTGAAAATATGAAATCACGAGAGGTTAAATGATAAATTATTTAAGCACAATACATTTAAGTGACAAGTTTATAATCATAGAAAATCAAGTGATAAATCATAAAATCACAATGGGTAAAAATAAAATTTTTGATTTTTTTGAAAGGTTTGTGTATTCCTAATTGTGATTGAGAGGACAAGCTTAGAAATCACAATTGTCTGCAATATGAAAATTGGTTTTCCATTGTTTGTAGTTTTTACCATCCATAGGTTTTTGACTCATAATAGTAGCTAATGGATTGAAAGATGACATTTTTTTGAAAAAAAAATATATACAAAGCACACGGTTTACAAACAAGAATAGCAATAAACCGATTAATCGCAAGTAGATTATAATAACTACTTTTGTTTATTGTTAACAATCATTTACGTTGGGCAAGTCACTTGTAAAAACTAAAATTGTTATTTGGGTCTTCGGTGCCATTACTAGATCCTCGTTGGGTATAAGTATTTCATCACATTCACTGATGAGTACTCAAGATTTGCATACGTGTACCTGATGCGTCATAAGTCAGAAGCTTTTGAAAAATTTCAAGAGTTTAAGGCTGTGACAGAAAAATATCTTGGTGTTCAAATCAAGACTTTTTGGTCTGACCGAGGAGGTGAATACCTATTTGGAGAATTCAGGTCCTACCTGACTAAGGAGGGGATAGTTTCACAACTTTCTTCTCCAGGGACACCCCAACGGAATAGAGTTACTAAAAGGAGGAATTGAACCCTTCTAGAAATGGCAAGGTCTATACTCAGTTATTCGTCTCTGTCTGATTCATTCTGGGGATATACTTTACAAACTGTCATGTACTTATTGAACTTAGTTCCATCCGATCTGTTTCAAAGACACCCACATAATTATGTTATAACTATATTAATTTAAATTGATCATAATGATTAATTATTTATGTTATAACTATTAATTACTTATTTTTTGGATTGTTAATTATTTTATTTTAATTACAAATATGTTAAGTTAAAGTATTTGAAAATGTTATGTAATTAAATTTAGGAGTTTTAAATTAATATTATTTAATTTTATTTAAATGACACGTGTCACACATGCACGTAACCAGCTGCTCAGCCCAGCTAGTTTATCACAGTGCGACACGTGTCACAGTGTAACACGTGTCACACCGCCACGTAAACAGCTACACAGTCCAGCAATTTTAGCCACGTAAGACGCCACGTAGCCCAGCGTTTTAGGCCAGCTGCCACGTAATCTAGCTGCGCTGCGCAGCTAGTTACGTGGCCAACCAGATGTTGCCACGTGGCCAACCCTAACTCACCATGTGGCATAGCGAGATTGATGACGTGGTACTTTGGTAAAAAATTTCTGAGGCGTGGCATTCTGGTAATATTTTAGGTAAACAGTGGCAATTTGATCGTTGTCCCTAGAAAAGCTGTATATTAGAGGCTGTCGTTGCACTGTTAGGTGACTTTTGTGGCCCCAATAAATGCACCACGTGTCCAAATAATAGACTTGACACTATCAGCGACTTTGATAACATGACAATTTGAAAAAATATTTTGGATCTATGACATTTTGATAATTTTTATTGAAAAAGGTAGCAGAATGATCAATGTGTAGAACCTTAAAACAGCTAAACAAGGAAAATGTTTCCGTAGCACAAGGATTCATACCAAACACATTTCGTCATCTCTTGTCACATATGCAATGACATAAACATCTTAAATTCTTAAAACAACATGATTTTTCTTTTATACAATAGTGGCATTGAGATTTGAACCTACAACCTTATAAAGATTATCTAAAATCTCACGTTACTAAACTAATCCTATTAGCTTCATGTTATTTTTTATATATATTAATTTGTAGTTCATTTTTGTTACCCTATTTTTATTATTATTTTTTAAATAATAAAATAAAAAGTATATTCCAGTTTATTCTTTTATTTTTGTTCCTCATAAATAACAAAACTATAATTATGATGTAATAAGAACAGTGTGTATATAGTAAAATTATTCTTAAACTGAAGGATTATGCTATTAAACGATCACTTCACAATCAGTTGTGACTTAGTATTTTTTAAAAGTAAAATTTAACTTATATATTGACATTAACATTACTTTTATCCCAAATTAATTGAGTTGAATTGGATGGTTAATAAATTTAATAAAAAGTAAAATGTCGAGGAAAAATAATAATTAAGAAAAAAAGTGTGAATGGTACTTGCGGCATATGCATATTAAAATATAGAGAAATGTTATACTTATAATCTATTTTCATATATAACTTCTTACAACCATATCTTAACCGTTGATTTTCGTCAATCAACGGTTAAGATTTTCACAAATCAAATTTATTAATTAATTATTAATTCATAATAAATGACAACCGTTTATTGGCGAAAATCAACGGTTAAGATATAATTGTAAAATATTATAAACGAAAATAGGTTATAAGTATAACCTTCTCCTAAAATATAACCTCAAAAAGAAAAATTTATTATAATTCACATATATCTTTTATGAAATTTTGCTTAAGGTGATGTTTGGTTGGAGGATTTTTGTAGGATGCATGGGGAAGTGAGGGTGGACATTCAATAATACCATGTTTGGTAGCACTTAAAAAAAAATGCTGGGAAAATTGTATGGCCGGTGAAATTTTGTGTGTGTAATCTTAAACCAAGTTCTCAAAGAAAAATTCCACCCAGCGGGTGGTATTGTGATTTTGAAGGGTAAATGAAAAAGTTGATGCTAAAATTATTTCAATATTTCCGGTAAAATTTTGATCTACCAAATAACTTTTTTTAACTTTCCTATCAAACTCATTTTTCTACCACTTTCCTACTAATTACATTTTCCCAGTATTCAAAAAATCTATATCCAACCAAACGCTCCCTAAAAAAAATCGTGAACATTCATATATCAGTTGAATCAATTCCTTTTATTTTAAAATTTTAATTTTAAATGCATCTAACATAGTCCATACGCATACGTAAGCTGGTCTTACTTAACCCAGAATCTTGCACCACGTATTGCCTCACATTACCTAGGATGCATAAAATAACTTTTTTTTTTCCAGGTTCATATTTTGCTAAGAATAAGGAATATAAAATGGATTTTGGGGGGTAGAATAGGAAGTGCAATAGGGAAAGGCAAATAAACTTAAACTCGAACATGAGATTCCCTCATTACTTCTTTTTCCTGAATTTAAGGATGTGCTTGTTCTACCCGTTTCTTGTTTAGTTGTAAAGTTGACTTCTTCACGGTTTTCTGCATTTTACTTTCTGGGTTTACCAAAGAAAAATAAGGTCTGAATTGATTTTCTGCCACCTTAAAAGCTCACATTCTTCCACAGTTCAAATTATCATTATCATTTTTGCATCGTTGATCGTTATATATTTCAGATTTCTGATCACTATTCATTCCCATATTATGTATAGGCTAAAATTTTCATTGCCAGGGTGGGCGGTGGCAGGTTGAAGAACTTCAATTCAAGAGCAATCTTTCAACAAATTTTTGAGCTGGAATAGACTTTTGGATACAATGGGTTGCATACCCTCAAAGGTAGCAGAAAATAAGCCTCCACCATCCTTCGAAGTAGTGGCAGATAAGACTCTACCCTCAGAAGTAGCAGAAAATAAGCTTGGACCTGGTTATGAGGATTTTTCTATTCTTGCTTCTGAAACACCATGTGAGTAAGGAAATCTTCCTTTTCTAATATCTTAAATATTGATTCTGCCATGAGTAACTTGATCCTTTGGTGCAGATTTGATATTAACTTCTAGGGCTTTGAATGTGGAAATTTAATTTGTTTTGTGCAATGTAGTAATCTGATAATCTGTAAAATCATGAATACATGTGTGATTAGTCAAAGGACTTCTTATATACCCAATATCATAATAGTTATTGCATAATAAAAATGTGGAGTTTCTTAAATTAGGTAGTTTCTTTTCCACTAATGTTGTATGAAAACAGTTCACTGTCTTTCCATTACCAATTTTATATGAATAAAATCTGCTGAGTTGAAACTCTCTTTCTTATGTCTGGCAGTTACTATAAATGAGGTGGAAACCTTGTACGAGTTATTCAAAAAATTAAGCACTTCTATTGTGAAAGATGGATTTATTCAAAAGGTAATTTTGAATTTCAACATCCTCATAATTTGAATAGCACAGTGTCAATAATTTTGTACTTCTTACATGCATTTCTTGTAGACAGTTTATAATAATAGATTTTTATATTACATGTATTTACAGGAAGACCTTCACTTTGCACTTTTCAGAAACTGCAACATGCGAAATCTCTTTCTGGACAGGGTATGTGGATCTAATTGTGTTGTTCTTACCTGATGGTATGTTCTGGTTATGGACAATCCTATTTCTGTTATAGTTGATTTGAGTCATTTGACAGTATCGGTTGGCCAAAATAAATTTCAAACGTCATAATTAATTAGGTTACACTACTAAATTGGAAAGCCTTTACTAGCAATTCTCCTTGTATCAGCAAGAAGGAGTTTGTACTTAATGGTTTTAGTATTGTTTTGTTCTCTTAGTATGTAACTATGTATGTGCAATTCCATTAATGGCATGCACATATATATATATATCCCTGCTATACACCCAAAAAACCTTTGCTAAATGCTATTCAACTAGCTTGATAATGACTTAATGCCCAATTTATATTTTCTGGTTGAAACAGGTAGTTTACATTTCTTCATTGAATGGCCTATCCTATTGATATTGATGTGCAGTTGTGTTGTTTAAAGCTAACCCTGCTGATCATAGTCATGAGTTTTTATTTTTTTCGTGAAATTCTGATTCCACGCAGATGTTTGATCTTTTTGATGTCAATCGCAATGGCCATATTGAGTTTGGGGAATTTGTTCGATCCTTGAGTGTCTTTCACCCAAAAACTCCTGAAGCAGTCAAAATAAAATGTAAGAAATACAGGTCATGGAATAGAAGCAATGTGGACCATTCCAATTTGTTTATCATGTATATGTGATAATGTAATGTAAAACAAATTATAGAATGATATTGTAAAGTAAATGATTACTCATTGAGTAAAATTCTTTTTGGCAGATGCATTTAAACTGTATGACTTGAGGCACACTGGTTACATTGAGCGTGAAGAGGTAAACACTCCCCCGGATTTTGATGAGTCACCTAAAAAGAAATAAGCTTGCATAGTTAGTAATGATAAACATAAGAAAGCATTAGTGTGAGTCCAATAAACACTTTGGATACTGAACTAGGAACATGATTGATAAGTTGCACTTTGACCATTTTGGATACCATTTTAACTGCAAGCCTAGGCTTTTTACACATATATTGCCTTTGTAATATATCTGTGTCTGTACTTGGTACCATCCTGGTGTATAATCACTATACTAGCTTCTCAGTCAACCTCTCGAAAAGCAGAAATTGGATATGTTAATTGTTATGAAGGGTTGATCCTTCATAAATGCCCCAAAACCTGAGTCATATTTAAACCTGGTTTACAAAAAAATTGAATGAAGTATATGCTTTGTTCATTGCTCACTCCTCCTTAGGTAGCAATCATGGGGTTAGATAAGGGCAGCAGAACCTATATATTTGGTTCAAATATCATGCTGAGCTGGGTTGGAGATCAGCAAATGGCAAGGAACATTTATGTAACTTTGAGGAGGAAGTTAATTGGATCTTTGAGCTCTCTTAATTTCTTGGATTTCAATATGTCATTTGGAAAGATAGGAGCCCCCAGAATAAATTTTAAGCAAGTAAATCACTAGTATAAATACCCAAAAGTTCTCTATATAATCTGATTCATGAATCTACTAATTTGAATTATTCTTAAAATGAAAGCATAGAAGTAACTAGGAGAAGTTTATTGGATAGTTTTCTTTTAGATTTATCTCTTTTAATAAAAAAAAGAGAAGTTTATTGGATAGTTTTCTTTTAGATTTATCTCTTTTAATAAAAAAAAGAAAGAAAAAAGAGTAACTGCTCTTCGTTTAACTTTGGAAACTTTTTCATATGAAAATTTACAGTTGAAGGAGATGGTGCTGGCAATTTTGATTGAATCTGATCTGGTTCTCTCTGATGATGTGGTTGAAACAATTGTGGACAAGGTTTGTTTTCATATCAGACTCTGAAATCAACATTCTAAAATTTTCCTATGCAAGCTTCTCATATTTTCTGGAGGGTGTTGACAGACATATGTGGAAGCAGACTCTAAAGGCGATGGGAGAATTGACATAGAAGAATGGAAAGAATATGTGGGAAAGAATCCATCATTACTGAAGAACATGACTCTACCTTATCTAATGTACGTTTTAAATTCAATGACATGAGACATCCATTGCTTGCATAATGAAGTTCTTGACATGGCTTCAAATTGCATTCAGTTAAACGGTTTTTCCTGTTTTGTACTTATGAGCATTTGGCATAATTAGCATATATATTAATATGGTTCAGATAACTTTTGAATTTAAATGGAACTTTTCTATAATTCACATACAGCTGATGTCTGATGATGCTACTTGGTATTACAACTGACCAATGTATTTTCATTAGCATTGGTCGTGTCAATATGATGGAAATTATTTTACCTTTTTTGTTGTTGTTGGGATAAACAGTTCTTAGGTTTTACATGACCAAATACCTTGATTGTTGGTGTTCATTCAGGTATAACTGGATGTTTATATAACTGTATGTTCTTTCTTTTAATATTTGTCAGTCTATATATGGCCCACCTGGACCTAAATTTTGGTTACATGGTTGATCTCTTTTTCATCGATTACTCGACTAGTCTGATTAGAGCCGGGTATGACCACATAGGTGGCGAAGCTCTCCCTACCAAGTTTTAACACAGTTGCATTCTTACATGGTTGATCTCTTGTGATGAATTAACTGATGGCTATTGCATGATAAACAACATTGATCACAACACCTGCTTCTATTTTTTTGTCATCACTGTGTTATTCCAAGTAACATGGTTGTTTCTAAATCACTTGTTGATTTTAATTTCAGGGACATAACTCGAGCATTTCCCAGTTTTGTGCTGAATGCAGAAACAGAAGAATCACACTCGTAGCTTGAATACCAGAAAAATCTATCATCCAGAAACTGAGGGGAAGTGTGGCCATTCTAGTTTCCGAATCTCTTATCTTTCGTGGCTATTGAAAGGGTGGCCCTTTCCTTAGAACATCTAGAAAAGCCTGCAATTTCTACTTTTAGAAAGAAAGATGCACAGAGTGAGAAATTTTTGGCACCTAATTAGGCTGCGGAAGCTAGTCCCGTTGAATCTTCAAACTGAAAGTTTTTAAGGCTCATGAAATTGCTTTTGTTAAACTCAAATGTATAATTCTTTGTTAACATCCTTTGATTGTAATATGGTCCAAGTGCCTCTATGATCATCAAATATCATAGAAGGGTATTCCATACTAATTACCTACGTTGTGTTTTTCATCAATTGATGATCTATTACGTTAGAGAAATATAATAAAAAAATTATTAATTAGCTTTCACGTAACACCTTAACATGTTATATTTTTTTTGGATACAAGTAGAAATTAAATACATAACCTAATGCAATTTACTTAAATTTCTCAGCACTAGACCAATTCTAGTTACTTAATTTAAATATTTTGTTAAAATAATAGAATGAGAAAAAACATTTTTCTTCTTACATTATTATCGTCAAGGCCTCAAACCTGTAATGTTGGAAACCTTATTACTGCTCGCCTACATATATTCACGTTGCTATGGTAAAGCAAAAATGGTAATAACTAATGAGGATACAATATTCCATGAATATGTTCCAGTATAAGTGACGTGCATAGGGTGCAAATGAAGCAGAGGTTTATATAGATGATTACGTACTGATTTTATTTATATTTGTAGCATGCTTATTTTATTCTATGGAGAGATTTAGTACTGCAATTCTTTTTTTTGGTAAGTTGAAGAATATTTTTGGATTATCCTTCATGTTAATCAAGAATAATTCTTTCTCAGACAATTTTAAAGGCACATTTCCACATTAGCTTGAGAAATTAGAAATTAATTTTCTTTTTCTAAGTGCAAATCTAAAAGTTCAAAACCGAAGTATTGAACACAATTACCAAAACAACCCTCTAGGTTAGACAATTATCCCCTTATATATACCAAACGTAAGAAAATTGTCTTTCACTGCATTACTCAACATGCGCTAAAATAAATTATGGTAAGTCTATACACGTATTTTAATAATTTATTTATATTAATCATTGGTCAATTAATTGCCTTTTTCTTTTTTTTTGGAGATCTATCATTTAATTACTTAGGATCTGAGAGTGTCTTGATCCATAGTGGTGATTTAAAAATGAAGTTAATGGGGAGTGACACATTAGTGATACGACCCACGTCCCACGTTACATTTTAAAATAACAAAAAATAGTGTCTCTGTCATTAGTGGTCATTGCTAACGTTAAAAGCCATTAGTGGGTTAGAGAGAGAGAGAGAGAGACACTCGATTTTGTAACTTAACGGCTTCTCCGAACATACCACGATTATTGATGTTGCTGGTTTATTTCCGAAAGAAAAGGACAAAAAAGACCCCAAAAAAAAAAAAAATCTTAAGTTGGTGTTTGGTTGGGAGCTTTTCAGCGGACATCTATCTTTCTCAAGTATGGCTTTTAAAAACACCATGTTTGTTTCAACGTTTTTCACCAAAAACCCATCTAATCCAATTTGTCTGGATTTATGAGAAACATAGATATCCGCACTGTTTAGAAACCCAATTTGAAGGTGGGATTTTTCGGAAAACCGGTTATCTGACTTTTAATGCACTGTTGATTTCATAAAGTTACTTAATTTTCCCAGTAAAGTTTTTTCCCACCAAACAACTTTTTTTTTTTACATTTTTCTACCTATCTCACTTTATCTATCTTTCCAATCATTTCTCTATCTATCTCATTTCCTTACTATTCCAAAAAGTTTTCTTGAACCAAACGCCCCTAACAGTCTTCGTGAAGCTACGTATAGGTGTACGGTACAGTATAAACATCAAAAGCTTTTTACTAGTAGCGCTACGTATACAATACCAGGCGGCTACGCGCGTCTACTTGTTCCACAATTCATCCTCTCTCTCTCTCTCTCTTGTTGTGTTTCTCATTTTCAGTCAGAGTCAATATAATAACAACCCTTCCCTTATTTTCCGAATATTGAATTGAGAAATCTTCCTTCAACTCAAATAACAAAACCCCATTACGTTATTTCCTATTATTGGTGCCAAAGCTTCAAACTTTCTGCTTCTTCTTCTTTTGGGGGTAAGAATCTTCTCTCTTATGAATTTATAGCCATTGATTCTGACCTATTTGTGATTTGATCCGAATCAGAAATCTTTGGGTACTGGGTTGGGTTGATTCTAGGTTTTGTTGGGGAAAAGATGTGGAATTAGGACTTGGGGCTCGATTTTTCCATCATAAGATTGTTAATTTTTGTGCTTATTTTGTTAAAGTTTCAGTTTTGAGCTTGTTTGGTCATCTGGGTAGGTGTCCCGTTGCCCCCAGGTTGCTCTAATTGTGCAAATATATATATGGCTGTCTTGTTGTGAAAAATTGGTAGGAATTAGGGTTCAGGTTCAGGCTTAAGTCAAAGCCTCAAGCTTTGTTGGCTTTTCATTCCTTTCATCAATAGTGAAAATGTCATCTGCTGGTGTCTCCACTCTTAGCCCTGTCCTAAGGGAGCTATTGTTGTCTCCAAATGGATTCCATACCCCACACTTTTCTTTGGATGATGAGTTCATTTTCATATATCTCTCCTATTTGGGGTCTTTGACTCCAATGCGTGTTCTACCTTGTGACACCATTGAGTCAGTAAAACTCAAAATCCAAAGAACTCAGGGGCTTCCTTCATTAACAAACAAAAAAAAGTTGGTTTGTGGTGGCCGGGAGTTAGCGCGAAGCAATTCTCTACTCAAGGACTATGGGGTTATAGAAGGAAATGTTTTGCATTTGGTAATCAGACACTCAGATATCCAGACCATCAATGTGAGAACTTCTTGTGGGAAGGAATTTACTTTTCAGGCAGAAAGATGCAGGGATGTTGGGTATGTTAAGCAACAGATTGCGAAATGGGAGAAACAGTTTGCTGATCCTGAACAGCAGGAAGTTGTGTGTAATGGGGAACAGCTTGAGGATCAGAGGCTTATTGATGATATCTGCAGCAAACATAGTGATGCAGTGATACATCTTTTTGTTAGAATGAAATATGCAGAAGTTAGGACAGGACTAGATGAGTTGTCCGTTGTGGCAGCAGAGCTGAATGATACAAAAAATTATGATGTTAATGAAGACAATTATAGGAGAAATTATGGCGCTAGCAAAGAAGATGCAAGAAGGGAGTATGGTGCCATTGAGGAAATTGTTCCAAGAAATGCTGTTGACAGAGATCTTCTTTTGGAGCCAGTTATTGTTAACCCTAAAATTGAATTAGCTTCAGAGATTTGGAATATGATAAACTCTACATATGACGGGTTAGATAGTGGAAATTATCCGATCAGATCTGCGGAGGGTACAGGGGGGGCTTACTTTATGCTTGATTCAACAGGGCAAAGGTATGTATCTGTTTTTAAGCCTATTGATGAAGAGCCAATGGCTGTGAATAACCCTAGAGGTTTGCCTTTGTCATTAGATGGTGAAGGCTTAAAAAAGGGTACTAGAGTTGGTCAAGGAGCATTCAGGGAAGTTGCAGCTTATATTTTGGACCATCCAATCACTGGCCGCCGATCATTATTTGGTGATGAGAAGGGCTTTGCTGGGGTTCCCCCGACTGTTATGGTGAAGTGTTTGCATAATGGATTTAACCATTCAGGGGACTGGACTGCTAAGATTGGCTCTTTGCAAATGTTCATGGAGAATAATGGAAGTTGTGAGGATATGGGGCCTGGGGCTTTCCCGGTGAAGGAAGTGCATAAAATATCTGTGCTGGACATAAGACTGGCAAATGCAGATAGGCATGCTGGGAATATTTTACTCAGCAAAGAGGATGAAAATGACCAGGCTGTTTTGATTCCAATTGATCATGGATACTGCTTGCCCACAAGTGTAAGCATCTTATTTTTGTTGTTAAGTTGTTCTCTTTTTTAATGTCTGTGATAGTGCTTTATTGTTCTCTTGATGTGAAGTGTAAACTTTGGTTTTCTCCTGCTTGGTTATGGGCGGTGCATTCTTCTCACTATCATGTTCTTTAAACTAAAGTTGTTATTTTGGATAGACTGCAGGTATTTTGAGAAGTGGGAAATGTAATTAGCCTTAAACATCATTTTCTTGGTGACCTGTTTCGAAATTCATTAGACTTTTTTCTTGATGGGTGGGGGGAAGGGATTTTGTGATAATTTGTGTAGGTTTTCTCCTTGAATCTTGTTTATACTTCAAACCAGTCATTTGAGGTTTTTTGCCGTTCCAACAGTTCGAAGATTGTACCTTTGAATGGCTTTATTGGCCTCAAGCTCGCCAGTCATACTCCCCTGAGATCATTGACTATATAAAGTCACTGGATGCCGAAGAAGATATCGCTCTTTTGAAGTTTCATGGATGGGATCTGCCAGTTGAATGTGCTCGCACTCTTCAAATCTCAACCATGCTTCTGAAGAAAGGAGTGGAGAGAGGGATGACCCCCTTTGCCATTGGAAGCCTCATGTGCAGAGAATCCTTGAACAAGGAGTCTGTGATTGAGGGAATTGTAAAAGCAGCTCTGGATTCTGTTCTTCCTGGTACAACTGAAGCTACATTTCTGGATGCTGTTTCCGACATCATGGACCAGCGCCTTGATGGGATCACCAGTTCCATTTCTTAGTTAAAGCTGAGTTCTGCAATAGAAGTTGGTATATAAATGTATGTGTACATGTGTTCTCGTACATTTCTATAGCTCAAATGATTGTTTTCCTGTTATTTCACAGTAATAACTCTAGCTCTTGTTTTTTAGTATTTTCCAACGTTTCACAAATTCTTTCATCAAGTTGTCCTTTTACCTCTGAACTATGAAATTTGTAATGGTAGACAAATCCTTTATCTTTTGAATTATAGCTTGGTATTCTTATGTTTTAATTACTAATGAGTGTCACCCTTTGTAGAAGTGAAACTACATGTGGAAAATTGAGAGGTGTTCAGTATGTGTGCTTGGGTTCTACAGATTTGGAGATACAGTCATTTTCTATACTTTTACCTTTTACTTCTCACTCTTCTAAAGTGTAGCCTCAAAATCCCCAAGGTTAGTTAGGCATTGCATGCTTTGGGTTTGGTTACTTCAAAACAAAACATATGCCATTTGCACAAGTCATTACTCAAAATGTTGTTGCCTGCTAAGAATGCAATTGACACATATCTGTGGTAGTTGTGAATTTAGGATTTTATGTTAATAATTCAATAATGCTATTTTCTTTCAGCAAAAAGACTTTTGACAAACATTTTACAAAATTTGCAACTTCTCCAAATCAATAATAGCTATGCAAAATAATTAGTACCTTTATTTGTGCAAAATTACCTTCTAAAATATTAAGTTTTTGTGAAGGTTCTCTAAAAGTTATGTAGTACGTGTTTAATAAGTCAAGGGCAAGTGGTGATATTTCTCATAATATATTAAGGGTGGTTGGATGCACTCGTGGTAGTGACGATGCAACCAATGAAATGTGGGGATATTGCTTTAGTACGTGAAATTTGACTTTGCCTTCAAGAAATCAAGCAAGGATGAGATTTTGGAGCAACGAAATCTTCAAAAGTCAAAACTATGCACACCCCATTTTTCAAGTCAGTGCGTGATGTTGGCAAATGCAATTCCTCCATCTAACAACGAAATTTATGCATGCAAATTGCAAACATACCCTTTCTAGAAAGCGTTATATGATATATCTTCTTATTCCCCTACAACAGATGAAGGCCAGATTTACAACAATGACCCGGATATTTGTTAATTTGAGGTGAGAAAATTATGATATAAAAAAATGAGTATATCTTTGTTACGGACCTTGAGGTCACCACCCCAAAAGTTAGCTCAAAGGGTGGGAGTGCCCAAGATCTTATAAACCCCACATTAGTTGTATAGGCTTTCACTCTATCGACACTGACCCGACGGTAGCCCGTGGGCGGCTTCACTCACCTATCAGTATTCAATGTCCAAAGACACACTTTAATCCAGCTTATAGGTAGCCCTTTCCGTGGCCTCAACTCTCAATGAAAGCACCAATTGTTACGGATCTTGAGGTCACCACCCCAAAAGCTAGCTCAAAGGGTGGGAGTACCCAAAATCTTATAAATCCCACATTAGTTGTATAGGCAACCAATGTGGGACTTGTAACAATCTTCTTAGTCATTCTCTTGATAATCTTTCTAATACTAAATAAAAATGCATTTAATATCTTAAAAACATTGAATTAATTTTTCATTTTAATAAGGATAAAGTAGGATATAAAATTATTTTAACAAGACAGATTCTATCCGCATTTGAGATAGTGAAAAATTGTATATCATATGGCCTTTAAAAAGGATCCAGAGTCAGATTGAGATGCCTTTCAGCAATCCAAACACAGAGGAAACAAAGTCAAATGACAACTTCGAAGCTGTAGAACTTTATGTTTTATGAATTGGAAGAGGCAAATTTCCTACTAATATATATCTTAGTGTTTTTGTTAAAAAGTTGGCTTCTCTTTTACATATCAATAGAAGCATCTTTAGTGCCATTGAACCGCAAACAAGTAAAATCCTCTGGAAAAAAAATAAAAAAAATAAAAAGCCCCACTTCTTACTTTTTCTAAATGTGGAGAAAATTTCAACTATGCCATCAACAGCAGTTGCCTAGGTAGAGCTAATATAATTACCTACATCTTTCTCAACTATATACAAACAACTGTGATTTGGGTACCAAAAATTAAGTACAAAAACTAGTACCATGCAAGCATGGCATCATTTTCTTCAACCATGCAAACTTGTGATGACATACGCTCTCCAACTCTATTGTTGATAGTTTGAGAGCCATCATCCCTTTCTGGGTTTCTTCAACTTTCGCTTCAACCTTTTATTGAGACAAAAGAAATCACTAAAATAAGTATACGAATAAAATGATGAAAAACTGACTAATCTAAGATTTTATGTAATGTATCCCACACCACTGCTGATTTTATGGCAAATGATTACCTCTTGGTGGAGCTGTCACTAAAACCAAACACACCCTTCATTATTGAGTTTATATCCACAGATCGTTCCTTCATCATCTTATCATGGTATATTTTGCTGCCAATCTCTGTAATTTGTTCCTCCACTTCTTCTAGTGGTTGGTCTATGTTGAGCTGAAGTTCACCTTTCTTGATGACCGTAACACCAAACCCATTTGCTTTAGCTTCTCGAAAAGCATCCTATAACATGCAATAAAAGTTCAGAAAACATTCAAAAAAATTACCCCAAAGAGGAATTGCAAAATTTCATAAAAAAGAAAACATGTCCTAGCAGACCCAAAATAAGAAATTTTCCTATGGTTGCTTATTTGTTGGACCAATAATATCAAATTGTGACACAAGACAATCAACCAAAAGCATAAACAAAACTATAGCTTTCACTGTTATCAACAAATTCAATTCTAAAATAATCTACGGAACCAATAACATTGGTGAGAGCGCACAATTTAATACCTTAGGAGGCCGTGCAACAACAAAGGCATGGCCATTTCCAAGCATATCCATATGAGCCTGAATTATGTAACAAAGATTTTTGCAGTCACCAGCATCTTGGAAAGCAATCACATGATATGGCTTAGGTTCCAATTCAAGATCTGCAGCCATCTCCAACGAATAAAATCCTACTCTCTCTTCTCCATCATCAATTGTGTACAATTCAATGCACTGACAGAAAATAAACAAATTAATTCAGTATCAATGAGTAGAAAAAAGAAAAAAAATCAAACCAATGGGGGAGGAAAATCTGAAAAGTACAGAGAGGATAAGCTTTGATCAGCCAGACGTATCATTCTAGGACATGACATTGATATTTCATCCTTAATTTCATGTTTGCTAGTGAACTAGTGGAAACTAAGAATAATATATACGGAGCCGTGTGGTGAGCACAGAGCAACTAAGAATAATATATATATATATATATATATATATTGAAAACAGAAACCACTCTTTTTATTTGGTGTAACTAAGCCGGATGAAGGTGGCCTGCCTGCTATCCACACCAGAATAAATGAAGTTTTCCGAAAAAACCTACAGGGACTATGCTATCAACCGCTATTGACTTCAAAGATACCCTATGAAACATTATTTTTCAAATAAAAAAGTTTATATATATATATACACACACACACACATTCATACATACCAATACATGTGAGAGATCTAACCACCATAAGTAATCTTCTTCTTTGTTGTCTGCATATTCACGATATTTGCCAACCACTGCTTGCGGTCCAAACAACTCCATCTCTCTTTTAAGCTTGTTGAGTTTCTTTTCCATGATACTCCTGTTCCTATCAGGTAATTTGTCCATCAGATCAGCTGCTTCCTCTATTTCTTTTTCGGTGATCCAGCGATCCAAATCCTTCCCAATATCCTTCATAGTGGACTTAATTTCTGGATCTGTCTCTCCGTTATAAGACTGCAAAAAACCATGGGACCATTTCTTTGTGTGCTGCCAATATTCCTTCCCTGATTTTTTGCCAACTTTAACAGAACCATCACTTCCTTCAATAATAGTTTTTGGATTTTTTGACTTCTTAACAGGTGCTATAGAACTGTCAACCTTTTCTTGTAAAGAGGGATCGGCTGATTTTTTAGCAAAGCCATTCTCATCCTTCTTCATTGGTTTCATATTTCTTGTGGAAATTGTCTTTCTTTGATCTAAGAATTCGTTTAGGAACTCGGGAATTTTCTCCACAGGAGGCCCTTTCCACCGTGGTATTATTTTCTCTGGTGGATCATATATACTAATGCCATCTAGAGGAATTAAAGACAACTATTAGCATAATGTTTAAAATTACTCATAGAAAATGCTAGCTGATATATCTTAAGAATTTGGTTCTACAAAATAACGTTGATAAGAAATACAGGAACATGTTAATAATATTTTCATGTTCATGAACTGTCAGAAAACAACTAATAGATATTACTAAAATCATTTCTAGAAATCAAAAGTTGATCAAATTCTCTGAATCATGTAATTTAGAAACAGGAAAATACCTGCTCCGTAATCAAGATTTTCAATATTTGAATGGAGCCATTCATGGATGTGAGAAAGTCTTTTATTTTCTTTCTCCACTTTTTTCTCAAGACCTCTGAAAAATGCTTCTTTATCTTCAGCATTCATCAAATAAAATGGGTCCCGTCCAGACAGTTCATTCTCGCGAACTTGGAAGACAATGTCTCTAAGATGATCATCCTGCATCCAGTCAAATTCTCCACCGTCTTCAACAACTCCAAGTGATTCCATCTCTGTGGGTATATCTAAATGTTGATTAACTCTCTCTTTTGCAACCATGTAGTTATCCCTAAATCCAGCTCTAATTTGCTTAATTATGGGCTCAACTTCATGGAAGTTTTTCTCCAGCCAATTCTCTGTCTTTCCAGATAGTTTTGTCTCTGTCCTAACACCATTAACTTCACCGTCTAAAGTGGTCTCAGACTTTTGAAGGTCTCCTACTCCAGGTTCAACACTAGAGTCCATGAAGTAGTCATCCTTTGTTGGGCCAAATTCCTTATCCTTCTGATTAGAATCTTCACTAGGATTTATGACAGGCTTAGAATGTGATATTCCATTTAAAGCATCACTTCTAATTTTCTTAATTATGGGCTCAACTTCATGGAGATTTTTCTCTGGCCAATTTTCTGTCTTTACAGATAGCCTGGTCTCTGTACCAATGCCATTAACTTCAGGGTCTAAAGTGGTCTCAGACTTCTGAAGGTCTTCTAATCCAGGTTCAATGCCAGAGTCTTTGAAGTAGTCATTCTTAGTTGGCCCACGTTCCTTATTCTTCTGATTAGAATCTTCATTAGCATTCATGGTAGGCTTAGAATCCGAGATTCCTTTCAAAGTGTCACTTCTGGACACAATTGTATTCATCTCCAGATTCTGGCACTTATTGTCATTAAAATCAATAACACTTGAAGACTTCAAATCAGTAACATTTTCTTTCATGAGTTCAATTTTAGATTCTGCGTCAGGATCTTGTTTGTCATGCTTCTTCGAAAGATAATCCCTAGCTTCCTTAACAGACCGTATGATCCTTGGTTTCTTGTTTACAGAATTTTCATTGGACATAGATGAGCCATTAATAGGAGTATCTGAGGGCTTGTCATCTTCTCTGTCCTTCAGGGGCACAGCATTTTCAGTAAATTCTGTTTCTCGTTTATTGAATTCCCCATCACCAGGAACTGTGACATTTGAAGCATACAAAATGCATTCATCTGCAGGAACTACCTCACGCAAGGTTGAATTATCAATATTCTCAGTGACCACAACAGAAGTTGGTTGCAGAATTGCATTACTATCTGCTGTTTTCCTTTCAACTTCGTTGTGATCATTGCTTAAAATGTCATCTTGTTTGCTATTCTTTTTTATGACTTCAATCTCATTGGATGATTCCTCAATCACGGGGTCATCCATTTCCACATCTCTACTAACTAGAGAATGATCTCTTCCCTCAATTTCCCGTGCCCGCCTAGCCATTTCTCGGATTTCTTGAACTTTATAGTCCATATCCATAGACCTAGTTCCCATTTCAGCAGATGAATCCTGTCCTAAAAGTTTATCAGGAGAAGCCTTAGCTTTTAGAATATTGTTCTTAAGTTGTTCCTTATCCAACTTAGGCTTTTTAATGTCTATCAACGGTGTCTCCAAAGGTTCAGGAATAACTTCAACAGCACCCTTCACCAACATCTCTTTCTCCTTTCTTGCCTTTATCTTCCTCCTCATCATTTCCTTCTCCATTTCTGTGTACTGGACCTCCTTATCTCCAAAAGCAAATAATTTCTTCACTGCCCAAAGGACAACCAAGACACACAACACTTTGCTTCCAACCCCTGAAAGCTTAGAAACCAATCTGGGTTGAACAACAAAACCATGAACAGCCTTAACAAAACCACCCTTCTCCTCACCTTGAACCACAAACTTCGCTACAGAACTATTCCTTGGAATCACATTATTACCATTCTCCATCTCCCTAGCTAGGTTCTTGGCATCCAAAATTTTACAACTTACTTCAGGGAAGTCCTCAATTACATCTCTCTGAACCCTGTTTCTTCTCAAAATCTCTTCTTCATCAACTGAGACCCTTTTGACCCCTCCAAAGGAATCCTGATAAACAGTAAATATAGGACCATACCCTATGCCCCAATACTCAATATCTTTCTTGTATTGGTCAACCCAATTCTCCAATTTATTCAACAAAACAGACTCACCCAAAAGTTTGGATTTTGGTTTTTCCACTTCAACTACATTTTCATCAACAGAGACCCCTTTATTCCCTGCATCACTCTCTTCCACAACAATACCGGAAACAGAAGATGGGTCGGTGAGAATCTGATTGGGACGTACCTGGTGATCATGGAGGAGCTTCTTCCTCAGGGAGTTGCTGCGGCGGTTGGTGGGTCGGCCAAAATGCGCCCAAGTTTGAAACTTTCTGGTTGTGGAGCTTGAAAAATAGAGTGAAAATGGGTTTCTGTGAATCGGGTAGGAGAGTTTTTTGTGGTTTAGAGTTTTGGGGCAGCAAAAAGTTGGGATTCGGAAGTTTTTGTGGATTGTTGAAACATTGAGAATTTCCATGGATGAACATAGGTAGAGAAACTACAGTGAAAGAATTGATAAGAGCATGGTTGAATGAAGCTTTTGCTTAACCATGGAGTGTGAAAAAATGGAATTTTCTTTTCTTTTTTTCTAAAACCCCAAGACGATAACGTCCAGCACCGATCAAGCACGTCGTCGTTTTTGTTGTCAAGTTGTGAAACATATAAAAATAATAGGGATTCAACATAAAAGGAGACTTCTCAAACTACACTCACTGTTTTACGTGTCAATATTTTTAATTTATTTATTTATTTTAATGGGACCCACTTGAGTATATGTGTTGCAAAAATTTTCATCTTATATTACATAAGAAGTATAAACCTCAAAATAATATGGGATATGTAAAAAAAGAGAATGACTGAATAACTTATCCTTAAAAATATTTATAAAAAGAGTTTGATATTTGTTCTTTTAAAATACATTGAATTGTATCATTTAAAGTATAAATATTTTTCTCTTATAAAAAATAAATGAGTAATTTGGGTGGTCAACTGATGCAATTAGATTTTTATTGGTTTTGTGTAATTCAAATGGTCTAACCATTAAGGGTTATAGTTAATTAAGGGTTGAAGTTACAATTAGACTAATGAAATCATCTAATTGAATTCAATTTTAACAACACTAGGTGTGATTATCATTTCTTTTTCACGAAAAACCTTTCTCCATTTCAGTGCCACAACAAACAATCAAACTGGAAAGAAAACTTCTATTGAGATTCCACCACTCATTATACAGTTGTAATGATACCAACTAGGTGAGTCATCTATGGCTAATTAGATAATTTGTTTTACTTGATATATCTTTCTCTTTTTTCTTTTTCTTTTTTGAATACTATATCTTTCTCTTTTGATCCGGGACACAAAAACAATGTTCACTTTTTTGTTATTTCAAAGTTTTGATTGCGTATGTGTTGCTAAATATTTGTAAAATTGTTTTGATTGTAATAATTAATGTTGTTTTTATAACTATTTGAAACAAAAAAAAAAAAAAGCAATATAAAATTATTAAACAAATAGCATTGTTTATAATCAATCGCAGCAACTAATTTAATTTTGTCATCATTTTACATAAAAACATATATAATCAATCGTTCCTTCTATATGGCTAGAAGGAATGACAAGTATTGTCTATGCAAAGTATGTAGAAAAGATTAAACCCAAAAAAAAAAAAAAAAAATCCGATTAGCGATGCCAGATTTAAACACTTCTATGAGAAAAACTGTTTTGAGGAATTTAGCATATGATACACGTAGGAACAAAGACTTGACAAGTATCTTGGTTAGAACTCAAGAAAAGGGAAAGGAACTTCTTTTGTAAGTTGAAATCTCCATCACCATTCAGCAGATGTAAATACTTTCCAAAATTATCAACAGCTAGCAAGAACAGTAACCCCCCATTTAACTCAGATGAAGGGGAAAGATGCAAGAAATCTAGGTACACAGGTTTGGTATGCACACTCCACCTTCAGAGTTCTGTTGTTCTTTCCATATCCTTCCTGTTACTCGTAACTTCAACTCCTTCCTATCCCCACCTGAGAAGAAAAGTGCCATGTTCCGATATACAATGAGGCCATCATGACTGTCTCTAACTTTCTTATGGCTATCTCTAATGCTTCTTGGACTGCCCTCATAAGTTAGTTTACGTCCATTTCCTCCTACCTCCAGGCTGTAGCTGTAGCTCCGAGCCTCTCTTTCGTCGCCCATGAAACGGAGGAATGCCATGTAAACCGGAGCCATACCAAGCTGGAAAGCTTCGAAATGGAGACAAAAATACTGACCAAAACAGTGGAAGACCTGACAGAAACAATACAACAGTAAGCCATATCATTTTGGATGAGAAAACAATATAAGCAACTTGTAGTTGTGCTTGTGCATGAAATCAAGCAAAACTCTGCTGCAAATGCATAGTAATGAATATCACATCAAGATATTGGTTGGAGGTCAGATCATGCAAAGGAGAGGAAGTTTCGGAAAGCAATCATGCTTATATAGTTCTGTTTGGAGTTGAACAAATATGTCTAGCTTAAGAGCTAGTAGTTATATCTACGGAGCAAAGGTAGATATAACTGGCAATGAGAAGCACAATATCTCTAGACAATAGTCCAATGGTATGGATTAGGGGTGTGTGTATAAATCACCTGCAAAGTAGATAGGATGTACTATGGGCACAAGATACGTGAGTGTGAAGGCTGTAACTATGGTGGTACACTTTGTGAATAATGAAAAAGCCTCCCTTCTCCTTCATTATGGGGGGCCATATATAGATGAATTATAGGGGGTTTGTGTACATAGTGGGTGGTTTTGCAAGTGACTAATGGTGTCGTAGTGTGCTTAGTGGATGGTTATGTGGAATAGAGGGAAGTTGAGAGAGAGTGGTGGAGTAAGATGCTTAGTGCATGTCATGTAGTGGGAAATGGGAGTTGAGACCATTTAACTGGTCCAGAACAAGTTCCATTACAATCTCAGACAATTTTCTTTCCTTTTCTTCTTCCAAGTATTATTTGGAGAATAGTAAACTTACTGTTAGCATCCATGTAGCATTTTCTACTTCCATGGGATTAGACTTGACATAGCGATGGTTAAAAGTGCATCCAGAATGCATATCAACCCTGTGGTCATCCCTTAAATGAGTAACAAGGTATGGAATATCCCCAACAACAGAGCAGTCTGATCCAGCGTAGGGGCAGTTGTAAGGTCTGAAGTTACAAACAGACTCATGTTTGAGTTTGCTATAATAAGGAAATATCTCTGGACACCCATGAGAGCTGTATCTGCAAGGCAGTTCAAGTGACTCTGCTATCTTTTCCAATGCTAGACACCTTATATCACCCAGTTCCTGTCTACAAGTTGGGCACCGGTTGTGTACCCTTGTCTTACAAGTTGAACAAAGGGTATGCCCATTGTGGCACTGCAGACAAAAAAAAAATGATTTAAGAATCAGTCAATAGGCATCGTTAATAAAATTTATCTAGTTATTTGTATTCCTACAAGGCCAAGAAACTTGATAGCTAAAATATTCCTCACAAAAAATAAAGACAAAATCTGACATGATACACCATTACTTGTTGAAATAAACTTAAGCATGAGTGAAGCCTTAAATTAAAGAAATCACCAGATTTTGTTGAACTCGATATTTGCAAATAAGCGAGCTACGTGAGATCCCTGATGAGTGAAGGGATTTCATGTGTTAGATTCTGATCTTCGGTAACACCTGATCCTTTTATTGTTTCCATTCCAGCTACTTCTCATTAGAAGTTAGTAAAATGATGAAAATTTTCTTATCCTTTGGTTAACTCTAATTCTGTAAATATCATCATCCTGTGCTGGTTGCATGAGATGCATCTAATTCTCCCATAGCAGGTTTTGTGACCTATAGCATATCTTAGAAACCCTTAATGCAAGTTACTAGCTTATTTAATATCCTAAACTACTAAACAACCCTATTTAGAATGTCATACTATAGTTTCCTCTCAGTCTCAAAACCATGTAATGAACATCAATTGACATGATAATAGGACTATTAATAAGTTATATAGCTTTATAACTGGTGTGTCCAAATTTTTTTCCTAAATTTTGAATTGCAATCTACAAAGGTATCCAGTATTGTATGAAAAATTTCACCCAACATTTATGCCTCTTTTTTTGGTAGAGATAAGTGCTCACAGTCACACCAAACCTTGCCCCTACCATAAATAGGTACAAAGAGGATGGGGAATAACTTTCTTGTTCAGCCGTTAAACTCATTAATGTTTATCATCCAACAGATCCAAATAGCACCACACTCTAGGTGGGCAAAATCATAGTGTATATAATTTTTCACACCACTTCCAAAACCACCAATAGAAGCACAAATCACAATTGTTAGAAGCACCATGGAACAGCCCCTTTCTACGTTGCTTTGTAAAGCAATGTAAACATGAGTGGGATGAAGGACATATGCCTCTTAGATTGAACCAAGCTTATTATATGAATCATTCATATGGCAGTGCCAACATGAAAAAGAGTTAAGTAAAATTCACTAGAGCTAGATAAATAATAAAAAGAGCTCTGCTCAAACACTGCCCATTTCATTCATCCCTAATCACATAACTTTACCTTATCTAAACAAGGTCTTACAGAGAAAAGTCAAAAATCTCAACTACCGTTACCCTCAACCTCCCCTAGTACTCAACATAACCAAAACCATCCGAACTAAAATTCCAGCAAACATAAGATCCATAGAACAAAATCCAACCACAACCCCTAAACGCAATAGCACACTTTCCAATGCAACAACTGCTTAAAAATAACGAAACGAGGTACCAAGTCAACGTATACTAAGAGCAGAATTGAAGGAACCAACCCAACCCATGAATCAAAATTGAATAAAGAACAAACCTGGTGGATTGGAGGGTACATTGAATTGGTGCAAACAGGGCATTCAAGAAGCTCATGAACACTGGTAGCAGCAGGACCATTGCTATGTAGCTTGGTGACTGAAGAAAACTGATGGGGATGCACAACATCCTCATCCATCATGATCAATGATGACACAGTACTATCAACGCTACTTGATTCCATTCTTTTTCAGCTAAAACGACAAGGATAAGACCAATCCGAGTCAATTTATGGATACTATTCCATGGTGAGTGTGATTCCCTCGAATCATATATGCATATCACGAAAGAAGATTGATGTGGAAAGCGAGTTCAAGTTCACCTGGGTAGAATTCTTGTGGGTAAATTTGAACACCCAAGAGCAAAAAGGAACGATTTTTAATTCGATTGATCCTAGAAACCGAACCCCAAATAAGGATGTTTTTGTTCTCCAACCTTGTTCTATACAGACAAATAATGACCCTTTGATCAAAATCAAACGGCTCTCAGCATTTCAACAAAAACCAGAGAGAGAAAGTAGAAGAGCAAGGGGAAAGATTCAGATAAATGCAGAATGAAAAAAAGTAGAAAGTGCATTTTTTTATTTTTTTTTGGTAGAAATCTAAAATTGACCTCCTTCTATCACTTTGTCCTAGGACCACGCGGTCAACTCCGATTATCTTATCTTTGAAATACTGTCTGATTGGAACAGTACATAAGAAAGAATGAGACTAATTCTTCGTCGAGAGAAAACTTTTTTCCTATACTCCAAAAGAATTCCAGAATTGCTTGGGTCAAGGATCAAACCCTCGACTAAGCAATTCTGGGCGCTCAACTTTGCGATTGAGCTACTCGGGGAACAAAACTTTATTGGAATGTTCATTTATTCTAAGATACATAAGTGGATCCTGAAATCTTAAAAATTTACATGAATCCACTTACATATATTAAAACAAAAACAAATAAAAGGGAAAAATATTTCTCCAGTCACTATATATGAAGTTATCTTCAATGAGCTCAAAACAACATTGTTTTAAGTTATAAGATTAAAAAATTATAATGATAAAAACTAATATAACCCTACAATATATTAGAATTACTTAAATACCTTTATTTCCGTCCAAAAACAATGCTGTTTTGGACTCACCGGATATAACTTATTTCCATTTACTGGAAAAATCATTTATCCATAAATAAACTATTTTTAGAAAATACATTTTAGACTCAGCACTTAGGGTCATTAGTTCTGGAATTTTATTTCAAATAAGGGACTGTATGATGTTAAAATTTCAAGTAATCTCCTTTTGAAAATTGTGTATATTCATTTCTTGGTGAATATTTACAAATCTTAATAAAATTTCATCTAATTAATGTCTATATATATATATATATAAATAAAGATTGACACAAAATTTTCATGTCATAGTATCATGTAAATTTCAAAATGAGAGAATATACTCAAATTAGGAAAAATAATTAAGGTGAATTAAGTTAATTACCTAACCAACCAACCCCTCGAATATGCCAATTAGCTGGTTGTTTAAGTACTTTATTATTGTGCCATGTGGAGAGAGATATCGTGGTCTCAAGTTTCATGTAGCGAACAACTATTAAAGGATTGCACCAGTCGTTTGTTTGATTGATGGCCCTATGATGCATGCCACTATCCCATCATTGATGAATTAAACTATGGTTTCATTTTCTTTGAGCTGGAGAAGGGTCCCGATGTAAAACTTTTTGCATGCATGTGGGATTTGTTTGATAAAAGTTATTGTTTTTTAAGTGTATACTTTTTTAAATGTTTTTTTTGAAACATAAGTGTATAATTTCTTTTTGAATGCAATTCATATTCACAAAACTTGTATTAATTAGTTTCTGAGTATATAAAAATTTTATTAATTTAATCATTTATTGCTTATTTTAGCCTATAAAACTTTCAGTTTTTAAAACTAACTCATATAATAATTGAATTAAAGATAAAATTATAAATGGATATAATTTTAAAGACTAAATTGTAAGTTTATCTTTTGTTTTGTTGGATTTTTTTCGAACAGGTAACCTTTTTAATAGAAACAAAATTTGCATGCTTTTAATAAATTTATACAAATTATAAATTATAAATTATAAATCAGATTTCTTTTTTGAAAAAAAAATTCAGAATTTTTTTATATACATAAATTTAGAAAATATACTTCCGCTTGAAAGTGGGTTTTTTTAAAAAATAAAATAAAATTCTGTCCATTCATCGATTATACACTTTGTAAATTTTCTCAAAAATATTTTTTCTCTTTTAAGTGCTTAAACTCAATATTTGTAGTTAAGGGAATAATCTCTTTAATACTTTAATCAATAATTTTTACTCACTTGAAACTTGAAAGTAATTGTTGGAGTAAAAGACCAAACATGAAACATAAAAGTTATGCTTTTCAAAATAGGCAAAAAAATTGATATATTGTTTTTTAAATAAAAAATTACGAATTTATGAAAGTTTTAGAAATAATTACATATTTATTGCATAAAATCACGTCCAATTTGGGCATCACCAATCACGCCTAAATTGGGCGTCACTCAAGAGGCAATCACGCCTAATTTAGGCGTCACTCAGGGGTTGACATGTGTCATATTTTTTTTAAAAAAAATTAACAATTTAATCGTAAAACTTCTGAAGGCCATAACTTTTCACTCAAGTATCCAAATCAGGTAATTCTTTTTTTGATTCCACATAAATTTTTGAGATCTATGCAATGACATATCATTTGACATATTTTATATCTCACAAACATAATTTAAATTTACAAGAATGGTATTATAAGAGCGGTTAAACCCAGAAGTCTATGAGTTCTGGATTTGTGATTTAATATAGAAAAATAAATAAATATTTGATTTGTGATTTAATATAAATAAATAAATAAAGAATTGATTTGTGATTTAATCTCAAAAATAAATTTGAAAAATCTGTATTAATAAAGAAAATAATTAAATAAATATTCTAAATCTCTAAAGAAGAATGATTTTATTTTTGAAATTAATGATTAATGCTATAAGCTTCTGAGTTATTATTCGTGGTCTGAAATTAAAGATGGCTTATGAATATTTTTCAAAAATAAAATCATTCTTTCTTAGAGATTTAGAATATTTATTTAATTATTTTCTTTATTAATACAGATTTTTCAAATTAATTTTTGAGTTTAAATCACAAATCAAATCTTTATTTTGTTTTCCTTATTAATAATAATTTTTTATTTTTATTTTTAATTTAAATCACAATCCCAATCTTTATTTATTTTTTTATATTAAATCACAAATCCAGAACTGAGAGGCTTATGGATTTAACCGCTCTTATATATACCATTCTTGCAAATTTAAATTGTGTTTGTGAGAAATAAAATATGTCAAATGAGATATCATTGTGTAGATCTCAAAAAGTTATGTAGAATCAAAAAAAGAATTACCTGATTTGGACACTCGAGTCAAAAGTTATGGCCTTCAGAAGTTTTACGATTAAATTATTAATTATTATTTTTTTGGAAAAAAGATATGACACCTGTCAACATCTGATGAGTGACGCCTAAATTAGGCGTGATTGCCTCTTGAGTGACGCCCAATTTAGGCGTGATTGGTGACGCCCAAATTGGACGTGATATTGTGTAATAAATGTGTACTTATTTCCAAAACAGTGTCAAATTCGTAATTTTTTATTTAAAAAATAATAAATTAATATTTTTGCCTTTCAAAATATATTATATAAATTATTAAACTCGAATCATGATTCGGTCGGTGTACTTGGTCAATGAATTATTGGTTTAATCAAAAGTTACTGGTTGAACTGCTTAAATTCAATTTATGAAAATAATAATAATAAATATATAAGTCAAAATAATATAATAACCAAAATAATATGGCTTAGTGATTAGCATGTCATTCCCAGTTATCTTTATCGTACTGTTACTTAATCTGCGGAAATTGGTAATTGAACACGTATGAACAATGGATGTTTTACAATACTTAGTGATCAGGATATAATATAGGCTTAATCAGGGTTCAATAAACACATGAAAGTCCAAACCCATATAGGACCCAGAATAAAGGCATGAAGGACAAGCACAGACGCGATAACCCTGTCGCAATATACCAACGCGATAACCCTATCGCGGCACACTAGCACGATAACCCTATCGCGTCTTACACGGCGCAATACCTCCTCACGACATGCAGGATGTACTTGTTCCCCATGCAACAGGATACCTTCTACAGACAGTAAACTTAAGGGCCAAGGCAACACCACCGCGCCCTCACACCGGTAAACTACGGACAGCTCCAGCTCGCTATGACTCTACTACTAGACACCATGGCGGCAAGCTCCTCAACATTTAAACACTGACAGCCACACTACGTTGGTACCAAGGAACCTTTGCCTTCACCATGAAGAAAGACATCATACAAGCATACATCTCGACTACTATATAAACACACGTTGTACCACCAAGGTACGATCATCCTTTACTTTCACAATAAAAACACCTGCCTCTGATACTGATTTAAGCATCGGAGTGTCTTTGCAGGTACCCCTCATCTGGAGCAACGTGAAGGACGAAGGACAAAGAGCTCAGGCTCATCCCCCAACAGCAATATCAGGCCCAGGCTAGTAACCTCCCAAAGAGTCTCAACCGTGTGTGATTTGAACTTAATACGCATTGGGTCATCCCAACCGTATCTGGTCTGATCACTTAGTAAAGCTAAAGGGCCACTCTTTAGAAAAATGTTACGTTTACTTCCAGCTCAAGGCTTGCAGTTGTTAATGATAAATTAATTATAATTATCTTCTGAGTCATGATTTTTTTTTTCACTTTAGCTAAACATCCTCATTGCTTATCTAGTCTACATTTTCCTTTGGGTTTTATCATGCATCTTTTATAATTATAGCTAGAAAACTAAGACTAAAAAAAAAGATTTTAAATTGAAAATATAACCCAGACAATAAATAGAAAAAGTGAAAATAATAATAATTGAAGTTAATAAATTTAGATTTTACTTATTCAGTCTTAATGGATTTTACTTTAACACATATTAATTACTAGATACGATGGGTATAGATTAAAAAAAAGGAAAATAAATATCTATAATTATCATGTTACTTATACTGAAAGTATTTATCAATAAAATGAAAAGGTAATCGTCTACCAAAAATAAAAATTGAAAAGGTAATCTAAGAAAAACATACCTTAAAGTAAGCATACAATGAAGAGTTTTATGAATATAATAGTGTATGACATTTCTTATATCATGCCATAAACACATAAATATTGTGAGTCTCATTGCATAGACAGATAAAAAATAATAAAGGAAAATGTATGTATCATTTTAAAGGATACAAAGTTATGTCATTTTAAATGAGAGAAAGACATAATCATAGGA